CTCAGTCGTTGGCGGAAAATGAGGGAGTCACACCCGTGATGGGCGGGGCGTGCTATAGGTGGGCGGTGCTCGCTACAAAACTTTCAAAAATTCGGTAACTCAATAGAGAGGCAGTTCTAGTTGAACTGAACTGTCAAGCCAAACTCACTTCTTCTTTTGCAATGGCCATATGATGATCAACTTTCGCAAAAACTGCCGGCAAAACGTAATGGCCACGATCACCCCATTTCGTACCACCTAAAGGAAAAATCGATACCTATCCTAATTTATAAATGAATCAATATATACAGAACAATAATTCAACACTTTTCTTGCCTGTTACAAGGTGGGCACCATCGCGTTTCCCACTCTCCACATGTCGGAGAATTTCCTCCACTTGCTGGCCATCAATCTTAAAATGAAACATTGTCGTCAGGCAGAAATTCTGCTCAAAAATGGATACAAAGCTAACACAGAAAGTACATAGTACCTGAGGTCCTTGTTGCGTAGATGGTTCGAATGGGTCGCCCAGAATCAAGCGTTCGGCCAAATCTTGGGATCGATCTACGAATTCGTCATACACCTGCAATGGGATAGACTCAATGCATTAAACTACACAAAGAAGGCGTTATGAAGAGGGAATCGCGCAAGATTTGCGAGAATCTGCGCTTTAGTAATTGGGGGAGTAATTATACTATGCAGAACAGGCCTGCAGGTGCTGCCGCGTGAAAGACGAAGAACGGAAAACGGTCATGATCTGATCTCGCCGCAACTGCACCCCCCTCCCCCCCACTAGTCACGACTACTTTAACACTAAAAGCTGTAGACAATAATGCTTCCCCTCCCCTAAGTTAACAGGCTTTTTTTCGAAGCTCAGGAAGAAGGCAATCGAACCTTCGGAAGGTGCCGGATCATTGAAAAGTACTACTTCAGAGCACAATTATGGGGTCTACCGATGTTTCCTAATGATAAAGCGCTGCTGGTCCACCAATATGGGGAAAGGAGGGGGTGACGAAGACGTTTCTGATCAGCTACCAGAAATAAGTATAGTGTAGTTCGCTGCGGACGGTTGGGCGTGTCAGGCGGATGAGTTTGGCGCGGTGCCAAACCCGTTCTCCACCAGTTGTTAAAGCGAGCAAGTGATATGACTGTATCATATCGTTCGTATTACTCGTTTTCTACCACTTTTTGTCGCATGCGCGCTTCAACAAGAAGGCAGAGAACGGCTTTGACGGCGTGACACACTCATACTGCCTGACACGCCCAACCGTCCGCAGCGAACTAGAGTATAAATGGCATACCACAAACTGCAGGCAGGGCACATCTTCGGAATGGTGCTAGAAACCCGGGAGCAGCCCGCAAAAGGACAGTACGTCAACACGACCCCCTCCCCACTCCCCCTAAACAAACTAACGCCCGACTCCAAAACACCAGACGCCCCTACATTTTCACGGAGGATAGGGATCTCATTGAAAGCCCCTGCGCCTGAGAACAAAAAAAAAAAACCAAAAAAAAATGTCTTTTTGTAAGGCCGAGAAAAGCTCCTGCGCAACAACATCAAATACCACCGCTCCTCTCACGAAGTGCTTGATAATGCCTTCCCAGCCCCACCATAAACGTAATATGTTGTCGAAAAGAGGTGAAACAACACCTTTGAACATCCTGTCGTTATGGTTGAGGTTTGAGCAGTGAGAGTTTCGGAGAGGGGTGAGCATGTCAAAAAAACGCGGTTTCAATTATGGCCTAAAAAAAAATCCGAAAGTGTATGACCCACGAGTTATATTGGAAAGAAGTGTTTACTCACCTTTGATTGGACGAACGTTTGTGAACCAGCAGAGTAGCGTCGACCTTTATTGAAAAACATACCATAGTGAGCTTGCTCAACGGCATCGTCCACTGAAAAATCGTACACTCATTGGTTTTATTTTGACACCCACTACATTTCAGCGCAGTTCATCATCCGATGATTGTGCCGATAATGGGCCACCACCACAGTCTACGCTGGAAGGGGGCAGTGAAGTTTTTGTCGGAATTAGCAATTGGGAAGGGAACACACACTAAAAGTGGGCGGTGCGTGCGCCAAGGTAGGCGTTGCCCAACCTAGAAATCGGAAAAACGGTTTCAGAGTGCTCTAGACACCGGAAAGTGTATGAAGGTCAGCGACGGGTTACCGGATGGAGTAAGGGAGGCACAACTATAGTAGGCGGAGCGCGCGCCAAGGTGCGCGGGGCCCAACTGGTAAATCGGTAAAACGGTTCCAGAGCACTCTACGCCCCGCACTCTTGTGAAAAAGAAATTCTTTTGGGAGGAGGGAAGGGTGTCACACTTTGCAAAAATTTTCCTCAGGAGAGGGGGAGAGGGACGTGCCCTGATCGCAGACTATAGCATCGCGCACTTTCCGGATCAGTACGTACACTACCCTCCCCTTTCCTGCATCTTCCCGAATCACCTATCTTTCTAAATTGTGGGTTCTGCCAGAGGATGATTACATCTATCATTCCGCTCGTTTTTCCTTCTTTCTCATCAGAGCTTCCTCCCCTACCCGGGCAGTTTGGCGGGGGAGGGGGTATTTTGCTCTTTTGCTACTTCCCATCGACTTGTCGAGCCATCTAAAGAGCAGTCAGTGAGCTTACAAGAGTTGTCAGGTTACACCTTGGCTCGAAGGGCTTGCTCCAGCTCACAAGAATTCACAGGTTTCATCCGAGTGAGACTTGTAAACTGGAACTACAAGCAGCAAAAGTGCAAAATGCCCCCCCCCCCATTCAGTTGCCCCTTTCCTCACTCTATCTTCTAAGGTGTTGTTTCTCTCTGTATTACAAAACTGCGAATTTAGCGATGCTTACAATTTGAATCAGCGAAGACAATGGTCGGACTTCGGGCGTTGAGTTCTATGGGGAATCTGAAAAAATGCAAAGTTCTCCAGAAAAGCGAAAAGTTCTTTAATCGATC